ACAAGAATATCAGAGTGACGCACACAGAATAAGACAATTGCAGGGATGCGGACCATTCTAATTTCCCGTGGACATGGTTGTGCGATTTAAAGGAGCCTTGATTGTGACACATAGAGTAGTATGGAAGAGTAGCGGTGCGCAGCATTGGAATCGTCCTCAGGGATCGTTCGTTGGTTGCTACAAACGTTGCTGTAATACATAGCGTATGAAAGAGCAGCAGATTAGCCCGGTGACTGATCACGTCGTCGCAGAATTTTTTTCTTTCTGTTCGTCGCAGATGAATTTCTTTCGTTCTGTTCGTTGGAGAAAAAATTCTTTCCCTATGCTCATCACTATCGATTCGTTGTATATATATCTCTTAATTAGTTTTGATTAATGAAAGATGTAAAATTGATGAGTTCGCTTATATTTATTTTGCATAGAATACAAAAAATAATGATGAACAAATTCAAAAGAAATAAAAAACAAAAGATAAAAGAAAAACAAAAAAAAAAGGAAAAATCAAAAAGGAAAATAATCTAAAGAAAAAAAAATCTAAAGAAAGAAAGTAATTTAAAGAAAGAAAAATACCTAAAGAGTAACATTGGCTGCCATATTTTTTAAGAATTCATCCAGTTGTGATGCGTCGAATTCGTTGACCAGTCGATTAATACGTTCGTCCAATTTTCGGTAGCAGGCCTTTTTCATCTTAATATTGTGACCTTGAAGAATCTTCGCCATGTCCACTTCAAATCTTGATTGTTCAAGACGAATTTTCTTCGCCAATTTCACAATATTTGGATGATTTAATGCAACACGGTTAGCAAATGCATTGTGCCAGCCTTCTACAGAATTATTGGATCGAGGTATCGTAGCGACGACACGATCATTAACGTTCCATAATTTATGATCAAATTGAGGATTCTTTCGACCAGCTCCTTAGAAAGTTCGGTATATGAGAAGTTTTTCAAGAATTGAGAAAAAAATTACCACTTCTTCTTTTTTCACCAATCCATGGTTTTTCAAAATAATCGAGTAAATCGTCGGCGTCATCGTCGAATTGATCAGAAATTAAGTCAAAGCCAGTGATAACTTGATCTAGTGGAACAAAAGCAAGAGCAATTAATTTTTTTACATTTAAGCGAAAATACTCATCCTCATTATATTTGGTTGTTAATCCTTTGCTTTGAACTTGTCGCCATAGCGCTTGTGAAAAATGAAAGAGACAACCTAAAAAAAAATGTTTCAATTACTTTTTTTATGAATAGATTGGAAAGTACCTTTGTGTAACACATTTGGCAACATATTTTTCACTGATTTGATTGTGCCAGTTTCGAAATCAGTCATAATTGATTCAGGTTGGAAGTTG